TATATTTTTCTTTATATATATATATAAACACTGAAGTTACAATCAAAATCAAAATAATGGACACGCTTCGGCTGTTGGAGGACATCAGCTGTGGTGTGAGATTGCGAGGGATGGGTCCCAACAAGTTACAAAGTCACAGATATTAGTGTTTGTGCGCGTTTTCTCACAATAAAAACGGATTACCAGAAGAAGGAAATTATTTTAGTGATAATTTGTGTGTGTGTGTGTGTGTGTGTGTGTGTGTGTGTGTGGTGGGTAAGGGAATGACAGCATGAAGAAAATAGCTCCTACTAAAGGAAGGGTTTACTCCATCGTCTGCAATAATTGTCACAAAAGTACATGGGAGAAACCTCAAGGAATCTAAATAAAAGATTCTAAAAAGACAAAAGGGACATTTTACAAAATAATACGTTAAATGCGTTGGTTGCTCACCGTAACGATACTGACCACTATTTTGTACTACTCTGATGAAAGGAGGAAATAATTCATTACGATATAAATGTCTAGAGTTTGCCTTAATCGCAAGGTCATCTATAGTAAATTTTTAGCGACACCGGTAATTTTTTCACTATATCATATAATTTCTTCACACACACAGACACACACACAGGCACACACACACAGGCACACACACGCGCACACACACATATATATATAGTTGTGTTTGTGTGTGTGTGTGTGTATGTGTGTGTGTAGTAATTGTTTAGATCCCGGTTTAAAGTAATCTAACCACACTGAAGAGCTGTGACACAACGGAACCGTCTGTCTGTGGATGGCAATATATATATATATATATATATATATATATATATATATATATATATATCATGAACAATATTGTAAAAAATGTATGACAAAGTGGAAAAAGTTTTCATGCGACGCGTTTAGAACTTTAGGGCTTCAATCAGACTAAATTTATTATGTTGGTGCGATTACTCATGCGCACAAACGAGGGATGCTGGCAATTTAAATATTTTTTTTTTTTAGTCTAGCCGATTTCATTTAGAATTCTTTTAATTATTGTAAGTTTATTGTTATAACACACACTCGTACTTGGCATAACGCAATCCATAAAAGTATTCTCTATACGTATTGCTTAGTCTATTGACGTAACGCGTGTAAGTTACTGTGAAATTACTATTTATACGATTGGTATCTACTCAGTCCTCAACATTGTGATGAGTTGAGACGCAAGATCGGGATTATTGTGATGAACAAAAGCGTTTCCACACGGGCCATTGGTCAAAATTTACCCAGCCTAACGCGAAAGCTTGCTCGGGTACATTACTTGTTTGTTTTTCACAGCCGACTCTCTATCCGAAGACAACGCACCGAATGAGTCACCGTCTGCACGATGACAGAGATCTGGTATTTACCGGTCGCCTCACCGCAGACTAGATGCGACACAAGTTCAAGTTTACTATGGGGGACCCGAGAGTTTACACCCGGGCCCCGTTAAAAGCGTTCTCGGACAGAGTACTGGTTTATTTTTCTCATCATAGTCTCTATCCAAAAACACGTTCCCGACTGGGTTACTCTCTGCCCGAAGACAGAGGTCTTGTCCTGACCTCATACCGTGGAATTCTTTATAGTATTGGATGAGTTCATAGTCTCAGTGGGGTGTACGACTTACTCCACAACACTTTTTCTTTTGGCTTTTGTTTCGATCACTTATGTTATTAGATAGCCCACACTGTGATAATAGAAGTTCTGCCAGGAAACAACATTTAACCATTCTTGGTAGAATTTCTATTATTACGGTGTAACAAAAGTGATGGAAGCAAAAAGCAAAAGAATCTAATGAAATTGACTACATTAAAAAAAAAATTAAAATTCCCAGCATCCCTTTTACGTGCGTATGTATATTCACACCAACATAACAAATTTAGTCTGCTTATGTAAATATTATTCTCAACGTCCTTTTCTCTATCTGGCTATAATTCTTCTCAGCTAGTAAAAGTGTTCTCGACGCATGTGCTTTTGCTTTTATAAAACCATCTTTGTGCTTCTGCAAAATTACGACACCGATACCGTAATTATTAGCGTCGGTCGGTCGCCACGATTGTTTCTTTTTTGGATCAAAATGCGCGCGAAACAAGTCCGATGTTTGAATCTGTTTTATCTTTTCGAATTCTTTTGGGCATTCGGCCGTTCAATTCCACTTGGAATCTTTTCTTAGTAAATTATTTAATGCTCCTTATTGGAAATATTAATATTTCTTTTTTTGGAAATGTTATATTTAAGCAATTAAAACTTAAAGAAATGCTGCAATATTTTTCATTTTAAAAAATTTATTTTAAACTTTAAGTATCGCGTTTCTATGGGGACATTTAATATATAGCCTAGTGTGTGTAGGTGTATAAAATTAACATATTTCGAAAAAACGTGCCCGTGATTAAAATGCTCATAAATTGTTGCTATAAAATATAAAATAAAATATAATTGGTAATGAAAATATATTAATATTTTAATAAGGTTAACTTGATTTGCGTTTTAGAAAACCCGTTCCTGCTTTTATTGTGATTAAGAACAATCTAATCCAACTAAATCATCTTTTATGATTAATCCACTTTACTTAGAAAGCGGAATCAAGTGTATTATGCATTAAAATATTTTGGGCGATATTACCTAAAATATTCTATTCGCTGAAATACATATTGTATTTAACAAGTACGACGCTATCGCAAAGTCGGAGGAAAATATGGGTTCATCTGTTAGGCACGACTGGGAAATTTATTTATTTACTCTACTGTCAGTTTGTTTCAAAATATTAAGAAGTGCTCAATTATTTGCGTAACAGTACCGACATTGTTCCATTTTATAATATTTTTAAGTGAAAACGTCCTTTCAAAGTGGGCTTTTCCGTCTTGGTAACAAGCCGCTCCCGAACGACCAACTTTGATATATAAGAATGAAATCCGGGAACAATAAAATGTAATTTTCTGTCAGTTTTCTTTGTTTTAATTTCTGAATTGGGTAAAAATCTTAAAGATATAAAAAAAATTCTAAGTCACATTGCGCTTGCATAAATGATAGGTTTTGACAGAGAAAAAGAGGGAGTAGCAAAAACTGAAAAAAAAGAAAAGGGTAATTATATAGAGAGGCAAGGGCAAAAAGTAAGTACAAACACACACACACATATATATATATATAAATACATATATATATATAAATATATCTATATATCTATATATATATATGTATGTATATATCGGCACTTTGTAAGACAATAGTGTTCCTAATATATCTTAATTATAGACGCAATTAAAAGATTTTCTAATTAAATAATATCATAGTTTCATTGCATTTTTTATATTTTACGATTCAGAGAAGATTTTCTGTAAATGGTTTTTCTGTTTGAAAAAAAAAAAAACAAAAAAAAACAAATTGGTTATTTAAATTCGCCATCGAGAGCTGGTTTTAACTAATAAAAAATATGAAGAGGGTGGAATTTTAATTTCCCGAAATTTCATAAAATTAAATAAATTCGGGTAACAGATGTAATTTTTTTTTACCAAGATTTTCTAAAAACATATTTAAAAAATAATTTAATTAATTTGTGAATAGGTTTTGAAAATCTCATTAAAATCCGACAATTACTTGATTTTTGCAAGAATTTCCAAAACAATGTGCTATTTTTTACGGCAAAAACACGTTAAATTTCCCATAGCAAACTTCGACTCACCGCTGACGCCAAAAAAAAAAAAAAATCATGATTTTTAACTAAAAAATCGAACGTGCTAAATTTTAATAAAATACTTTGGACTTCCTTCTTAATAATATTTTGATGATAAAAATTGGGCCTTTTTCATCATGTTATCCTCTTTTTTTTAGAAAATTAGTTCACTGTGTCATGCGAGACTATTTTTCTCTCCAGAATCTATCTTACATATCTATAAGTCTACCATTCGTCCATGCTTAGAATATGCCACATATGGTCCAGTGACCCTGCTATTTACCTTGGGCTCCTTGATAAAATCCAAACAAGAATCAGCAATATTATTGGTCCTGATCTGCCGTCTCTGCTTCAGTCACTTTCCAACCGCCGTAAGGTTGCCTCTCTGTGACTTTACTATAAATACTTTCATGTTAATTGCTTTTCGCTATGGTACCTAGACTTTAAAAAAAAATTAAGCTCAATACATGACTGGCGTCGATACTTACAGTTGTAGCCGTAAAATCTATGCTAACAGTTTCTTTTCTCGCACTTCTCGCTTGTGGAACTCTCTTCCGGCTTCATGCTTTCCCGCCAACTTTTAGCCGCAAGAACTAAATACAATGTCAATCGTTATCTACTGTCCTCCTGATTACTATTTGCTTTTCTCGCTCATTATTAATATTTCTCTTTCTAAACTCCCAAATCCTGTAATCCCCTGTGTCATAGTAGCATTACTTACTTGCATGTGATGATACCGTTTAAAAAAAATATTAAAAAAAGGTATATTGGATTAACCCGATGACTTGGTTCAAGGTTGGCTTCTCAAAGAAATAATCAACCGCCATGACTTAGTAGGCAGCAATAAGAAAGTACAAGTTTGGTTAGTATTGCAAACATTAAAAATGTATGCTTATCAGAAAATGAATAGCCCGACATGCACTTTACTAATTGGAGATAACAAAATCAAACAAGTATAAAAATGTAAATACTAGAAAGTATTTAAACAGAAGACGGAAAGTGTGACACTGAAATTGGAATGCGCATTAGGATAACGAAAGATGCCATACGAAACTAAGCAATGTATTAAGAAACAAAAATTTCGTTAGAAACAAAAAGAAAGAGTACTGAAATTTTACGGAATATAACTTCCTTTATATGGCAGTGAAGGCTGGACAGTCTCCTCGCAGGTGAAGAAGATACCTGAAGCAACAGAAATGTGGTTCTACAGAAGGATACTGAGAATACCATGAACCGAACATGTATGCAAAGATGAAGTTTTCTCAGCACTTAATAACGTTACAATATCGTGCTTATCACAGCTTATATCTATGTCACGTAGAAATGTTGGTTCCCTTACGATCATTGAAGATAAGCAACATTGAGCTTAGTCAATACCTACATGGGTGACCGCTTGGGAATACCAGGTGCTGTAAGATATGTGGATGGCGTAATTGATAATGACTCCGAATTTTAAATCGAGTACCAATTCCCGTTGGGTTTGGTATATTCAATTAAGTGCAAGTAATCAACGTTTCTCCCCCTAGCTATGAGCTAATTAGTTAGACTTGTGTCATTAAACCGTTATTATCTCTAAAAAAATATTTTTACAATTTAGAGATGTTTCTGGCTTTAAATAAACGGGAAACGTTTGATAAGATGTAAGATAAGCCATAGGAAACGAATCAACCAAACAAATTGTGTTTATCATATGAGAATATATCTGTCAAAAACCATGGCAATCTTTATGTACCGGAAATTAAAAAGTGTTATAAATAACTTAGCTATTATATATTCTTAGTTTCAATATGATGAACAATCTTCGAATTGCACACAGGAATATAAAATGTAAATATTTCAAATGAAATCGTATGTTCTAATCTGATATGCACCGTGATATATTTATCAAATAAATACAAATATATCCTTAAGTTTTAATAAAAAAATAAACATCGACATAGGGATAATAAGACTCAAAGTCAGAGAGAACATGGTTATATCAAAAGTTAAATAATGACTGAAATGGAAATGAAGAGAGAATAAGAGAGAAATTAACAGAAATATACAAAGAGAAAAAGAGAGAAAAAAAGAGAAGAATGTCTTTATATTATCGCTTCTCCCAATTGACTAATGTGATACAAACTCATGTTTAATGTAGAGCCAAACAAATATATACGTGGAGGCAAGCAAAAACTCGCCCAGTCCCACGACATCTGCACAGACATACCGGAGTTACCTGTGACCTTTAAGCGAATAGGAGATTTTGCCTCGGATTTGGAATCTCCGGGAGCCAGGAATATCAGCATCGACATATTGACTTGTCTTGTTCGTACACAAGAACAAGGATGATGATAGACACGAAAGATCCGAGACAGAAGTTATCAGGTAAATTAGTTTAAAGCATAAAGTAAATAATTCGAAGGCGCGTTAGTACAGTAAAAGAGGCTTTTTCAAAAACTACGTAATAAGAAATAGAAACATTTTGTAAGTAACAAATAAAAGAGTTCTGAAATGCATTTATATCTCCTCTTATATAGCAGGTTATGCTGGGCAATTTACTCGGAGATGAAGTTATTTTATTCGAAAGAGATGTTCTGCAAATTATCCTGAGATGGATACTGAGAACAAAATGGACTGAATTTGCATTCAACGAGAAATTTTAAAAAAAGGAATTAAAAAATAAGAAAGAAAAGAATGGCGACTGGAAAGACACTCATATTAAAATAAAATAAAAGAGTTGAAATTTACGGGACACAGTATGAGGAAAGAAAGCTTGAAAAGTTAATACTCACATGACACCAAATTAAGCTATCTAGGAGTGCAGGAAAAAGATTAATTATTGAGTTTGTATGAATGCTAACAGAGGAAAAATGATGAATAGTTACACTTTGCTTAGAGAATATTTCAAAACCTTTTTCAGCAACAGCACACCTAGGAGCAAATGAAACTATCACGACACATTCAGAAATTTTTTAAAGAGTATACATTTAAATATTATGCAATAAAACCATAGATTTAAAAAAAAAATACACACGCAAATATGAACTTACTTTATTTCAATGTTTCAATTCAACTCTTTGTGGAGCTTATTTAGGGTGAAACATGCGCATTGTGTTTTTACGCGATTACTTCAATGTTTGGTTGAATGTGTGATAAGCAGACCACATTTCTTCTTCCGTTGAGCGTAATCTTTCTCTTGATCATATCTTGGGTTGAGAAGCCTAATTCACATAAACATTAATAGAAAATTGGAATAAAACTGATAAAGCCTGTTCAGTTAATGTAGTCTATTCTTTTTGCATTGAAATCCAAAATATATTAATGGGTACCGTCGAATGTTTTATTTTAGGCATCGATTACCAGAAATAGTGGCCAATTCTTCTTCTTCTTCACATAACTTAAGTCCAATATTAAAAAGAACATCTATGAAGGGATTTCGAATCCAATCATTTCCGTGCTAAATGACGGAAAATACTAGTCGATGTTTTCATCGAGTGCTTTCAGGTGGGTATCTATAATAGGGGTCATTTCTTTAGTATGCATTGCAATTTTAAAAGTTAAATTACAACATGAAAATAATTTTAAAGAAAAAATGAATATTAAAACAAACTATTTAAAATAATATAATCGAAGAATAGTGTAAAGAATTATCTGAAAAAAAGTTTAATACTTATTCATATACTAACGTTGTACCATTACTACTTCCACACCCACGTATACGTGTATGCCGTGACAATATTCGCGGCACAGTTAAGAGGCTCGCGCGGCACACTAATGTGTGCGGCGCAGAAGTTGAGAATCACAAGCTTAGATCTTCAAGGGAGAGGAAGACGTGGAATGTATTGATTGCTAACGTTGTGAACGGCCGAATGATGATGATCAGGTATTTCTCTGTGTTTTCCTCTCTCTTTTATGTATGAAAGAGAGAAGAAAATACATAAGCACATTTAATATTTAGTTATTTTTACGTTAAACTGTCAAAAGACCAACAATTGGGGTGAGAGGTGGAAAAGAAATATACTTTGTTCTGACAAAGTATTTCATTTTATATTTACATTCATCTATCGTTTGATTTTCTAATCCGCCTTCACGGAGCCAACCGTCATATAACAATAATGTATTTTTATTATTATTCTCATTTTTTTTTTATTTTATCTATTAACTGGTCGTCGTCTAGTCTGACTTTAACATTTATCCTTAATGTTTTTGTCCAGCATTTTGAAAATAGTCTCTGTCCGATAACGCATCGAATACGACCTTCGCTGAGCAAGGTCGGTCAATATAAATTGAATGACCGCTGGTGACATAGAGTAAGACAGATTTGTTTCATGTTTAAGTGACTTCTCAGTGCAAACGCGAGCCAAACGCGTTTATACTTTCTTTGATCATATCTTGATATCAATAAAAGATGACTCAAAACACCAATGCGTAAAAATACCTTAAATATTTGTGATTATTTTTCGACTAAAATATCAAATCAACTCGACGATTTATGAGAATATAAGAAATTGGATTTATGCCGCTAACACCAATTTATATTGCCAGTTTAGACGCAGATAATTAAGAAAACGCGAGAAGTGTAAGGCATATCGGCGTAAAATGGGGAAATGACGATCGGAGTTGAAATTCTGACCAAGTTTGTTGCGTTGACTTTCGCAATAATGTGCATGGAAAAGGCAAAATTCCGTATTCTCAATCCACCTCGCATATGGGTTAAATAACAGTGTATATTGAAACTTTTAGATTTGAGGGAACCAGTTTAAGAGAAAAAAAAAAACTGAATTCCAAACCGTAAAGAAAGTAATGGAAAACATTGCTACTATATTTTGCAAGCATACATGTCCATTCAAATATAATAAAGAAATCCGTATAGAGGTAATATCACATCCATCCTGAAAAGACTTAACTTAAAAACAAAAATAATAATAAAAACACCAGAAAAATATGTCATAAGTATAACGGCCTCGTTTTCTTAGTAATGCTAGCAATAATTACTCAATCTCGAAATTCTTAACTTTTCTTAATTTTCTATTTGGAATAGTCAAATTAAATCGAATGTATGAATCACGTTTTGAATAAAATCTTGCAGAATTCAGTGCCAATATCTTTTTGCCTCCCACCATAATTCTTGAATATTTTTGTATGGTAAATGATTATAGACAAGTTTGAGAGGAGTGGTAAAGTCAGCAGACAGTAATGAGGACTGCCGATAATTAACATAAGGTTCAAATGCAATGGATGCCGAAATATAACGAATAAATAAGAGTAGAAAATTAACATTAAGTTCGTAAGCAATCAGCGTGTGACAGTATACACGTATGTAATGTATAGCAAGCACAGTGGAGGAGTGGCTAGCGGCCCGGAGAACAAGGTTCGAATTCCAGTTAAATCCATTTCATTCACTTACCTGCTAATACCTCTGGGAAAGGTATGAATCCTCTTCTTCTCCCTCTAGCTATGGATAATTAGCAGGACAGACTGGGTTCTCTAGCCTTGGATGACAAATGGTCTAGAAGGACAACTCTGTATTCGAAAACTGCAGAAGGTCGTTTAGGGACCTTGTGGCACATAGTGCACTAGGTCTCTGTATTCGGCCCTTCAAAAAGTGTGGTTAGTTCTGCACAACGTCTTCATTATAATCTAATCATATGTTCTGATGTCTGGCTATTGCTTCCTAGGAAATGAGTTGCTGACCCTCATACGTCGAATACGACGGGAGAGTCCACCATGTAATGTATATGCATTTCGCGGTTGGGAGTGAGTGATTTACATATGCTTCTCACATTTGGCGCTTTCTGTTGGCTTTTTGCTTTGTAGTCAACTTTCATCTTCCAAAAATTAAATGCAACGTCAGTCGTTATCTTTTGTTTTTTTTTTTATTCTTTCATTGTTCTCTCACATTAAAACTGCTTTTGTACTCATATTCTCTCACACTCTGTAACTCCTTGAGTCATAGTGGCGTTATTGCCTTGAGGTGAAATGTAAAAAACATTGCAATTGTCATTTAAATTACCTAAACATGTACACACACACACACACACACACACACACACACACACACACACACACACACAGAATATGGAAATTTACTAAACGTAATTTAGATGTGGCGCAGGGCCGAAAACATGGAGCAGCCAGTGTGGATCAACCTCACTACTCAGTCGTAATTCATATAGCGAACAAACTGGCTAAATATTACACCACGTCGATATATCCACACACAAAGTATATGGCCAGTTTGAAATAACACATTGATATTCTCCTCTCACTCTGTCTGGACGACTCCCTGAACTGGACATTAAAATAAAAATGATGGAGACAAAAAAAGAAAAAAAAAAAAGAAAAAAGTACTGTTTAATGTCCATCAAGCAGTCTCTTTGCTTACATGTGTGTATGTTCGTGAAACAAAAATAAATAATTACAATCAGCTTTTCTT